AGGGGCGCTCGGGTCCCGCCGGGCCGGGGCTTGTATCTTACCCCCTTCGCAAGGCGCTGGGTTCTTGCAGGTGTGGATGTGGTCTGGATGTTGTCCTGTGTCCTGTGGTCTCTATTTTAGGAAGATTTTTCTTTGGTATATTTTCATAGCTCTATGTGTTTTTGGGAGGAGATTTCCACTGCTCTACTCACGCCGCCATCCTAAGTCTGGAGTTGTTTTATGTGGCTAGAAAACTGAGAAATAGTTAAACCACTCAACTGCAAATTGGTACTTTAATAAACTAACATAACTCTTGAATTGGGGTAAGGCTCATTTTTAGTCTTCATTAACCTGAATTTTTACTATAATTTCTATCTTATTATAATACTTTGTTTCTCTGCTACTGTAGTTTGGTATATGTCCTCAGACACAGGCAGTGTAGAAATTGAAATTATATTGAATTTTAGTGTTCTTCCATATTTTGGCTTCATTAATGATAATTTCAGTAATCATATTAGGAATGATTTGAGATATCAGGATTTAAAAATTTTTATGGAAGCATGGACTCTTCACTACAACACAGAAGTATTTTATTGAAATTGAATGAAGACTTTTAATTTCTTAAACAGTATAAAATATGGTTTTTTTTTTTAGATAAGTGACGAAGAGAAGAATATCCGAGAACAGGAGATTATTGCTTCATCACCCAGTTTACATGGGGTTAAGTTGGAGTTTGAGTCAGTTTATAAGGTACGTGGGCTTTAGAAATGCTTCCTAGGTTTTATTAAATAAATCACAGTGGGCTGTACATACATACTTCATTAACCCATTTGTATAGCCTCTTGTTACTCAGCCTTTTTCTTTTCTGTGCAGATATCATTTTCATGTCTGCCTACCTGCTCATTTTCACGTCTGCATACCTGCTGTCCCATTGCAAGGCCTTCTTTGACCTTCTGGGGTTCTGGCATGTTGCACTGGGCCATCTCGCTGCCCTTTACCCCTCAGCACAAATACCTACTTTGCTTGACCCCTTGAATGGCTTTTGGACTAAATTTCAGAAACGGAAGAAGGCAGAGCTGAACTTGATTTTAAAATTTGATAGTTGCAACACCACAATTTCCTCTGGAAAGAACGTACTGATTATTATTGGTGACTACCAGTAGTTTAAACTCCTGCCTCCACATAGCTCCCCATTCCAGGTTTCCTGTTCCTACCAGTTAGGTCATCATTCAGTCAGCTTTCCAAGTGTGGAGCGTGGAAATCAATATTTATTCCTGTTCCCTTTACTGTGCCCATACCATCCAGTTCCCTTTACTGTGCCTTGGCTCACCTTTTACTCCTGCTTGGGCATTTTTATTTCCACTGTGACTACCCTAATATGCTAGAATCATGGGATATTAGAGCTAAAGGACCCCTAAGGTCATTTATACCATCTCTTCTCCCCTTTCCTTGGTTTTATTATATCTAACCACTGAGATATAGAAGCAGTTATTAAATGAACCAAAATCATGAATCTAGTCAGTCATAGAGCTTGGACTTTCCAAACTCCTTTCCCCTTCTCTTGCCTGGTTATTGAAATGAACCCACTTACCTCCTCCTCTTACCTGTCATGTGTCACCTGCTTGTTTGATGCCATGTCACATCATGCTTCCCTGTAGAGCTGTCTGACTTTCCACGTGTGTCTATCTGGTTTTCTCAGCGAAGCAGTGAACTCCTGCAGGGTGAGGACTGTGTTGTAGACGTAGAAATCCACAAATGAAGCAAACATGATCTGATGAAAAACACATGATTTGTTTATTGTGTGGTGTCATTGGAAATAAGAAGAATCTCCTAAGCATTTAAATTGAACTCTTCCAAAACTTGGGTGAATAAGCCATTTGGAGATTATTTATTCCACCTATTTTTTTTAACTCATTTTTAAAAAAGAGAAAATATATTCGGAGAGTAAGGATGATTTTCACAGTTTGCTACTATATTCTGCTCCTATCTTAAAATTTTGGAGTAGTTCACAGGAGTTTTAAAAATGTATTTAAAGTACATTATAGTACATTGTGAGTGAAGTGTATGTAATATAAGTAAAGCACATTGAAGTACATTCTAGTATTAGTTTTAAAAAAAATATTTACTGCCAAATACTTATTTTGGTAACAAAACTGAACAGTTCTTATTTCCATTGCTCAGTGTTGAGATTAGTTTTTCCAGTATATTTCTCCAGAGAAAGAATGGAGACATAAAATGAAGAAATTTGGGAGTATTTTACTTGCTAGTACTTTGCAGGACTGAACATATTGTATGCACATTAGAATTCTACTTGATGCAGAATAAAATGTGGAATGTATCATATGAAGGGAATGAAATATGCTTAGAGGGCTTGAACTGAGAGTTTGAAATCTTGGGGATTATAATTTCTAAATTTATGCATTAAGAAAAAAAATGAATCATTCTAACTTGGCTTATTATTATTTTTCTAAATATCTACTCTGAGGGGAACACACTTTTTGACTATCACTTCTCTCTGCAGCTAATAGTTTAGTTTTGAGTATAAACTGATTTTTTTTTTAATCTGCTGGGACTAATGAATTTCTCATGGGAAGAATTTGTTTAGACTTGATACATAAGAAGACAGGAGAATTTCATAATGACACATACTGACCTATTTTCCCTATTTCACTCTGAATTCAGATCCCTTTTGCTGATGCCCTGGATTTGTTCCGAGGAAGGAGAGTGTATTTGGAAGATGGCTTTGCTTATGTACCACTTAGGGACATTGTGGCAATCATCCTGAATGAATTCAGAGCCAAACTATCCAAGGCTTTGGCTGTGAGTGGCTCACTGTATTTCCTTATTTCCTCATACACATATTTTCAATTATGTACCATTGTTTTGTTATGTACTTTTTAAGAAATGATTTAATTTTCATAATGATATTCAAACAGTTTATGATGTTGTACTGTAATTCTAGAATTACTAGGTTTTATTTGTTGCTATACTCATAGTGAGTTTTCTTATTTTTCTTTCTCCTGTGATACTACTGGTGAGCTGATTAATTTGTGAGTGGCCTCAGTGGGTTTCTTCAAGAGCGTATCTGTTTTCTTTGGTGATGATTTCATATATGGCCCTTCCTGATTAGTGCGGCCCATGGTGGCTCTAACTCCTATTCTGAATTGGTATTTTGTTTCAGAAAAGGACATTCTAGAATAAAAGTTTTTCTGTTAAGTACTAAAAACAGAGATATGTCACTGCTACAATAAACAGCCTGCTGCTGGGTGAAATTGGTGGTAGCCGTGTTGAATAAATAACACGAGCAATGCTTTTTAAGAGGTTTGTTGAAAGTGTTAACACTGAAGTGATAAACATCTTAAAAATATACACATTTTGCAGTGTTGCCTTTTAATCTGTCTAGTTTTTTATATATATATGTAATTTTTTTGGTACTTAATGCAGAAGAGAACTTCAAAGTTGTGTGATGTGGCTCTTTTTAAGCTATTCTGATTACATTAAAAACATAGGCCAGACTTTCCTTTTGAGCTGAAAACTATAGTATTTTCTGATATAAATAATTTGTATTGCTGACTGGGGTTACCTAAATATGTGTGATTCAGCTATAAGCTATATCACCATTGGGGAAGACTAAACTATTAACTCTGGTTTTATTAAATGAAGCAATTTATGAAAGCACCTCTTGTAATAGATGCTTAGTAATATTAATAGTCTTCCTTTCTCCCTAATACTGTGGGATTCTTTTATTGTTGTTAGTCCTCATCAAAATTGATATTTTTCAAGTTTCTTTACTTGGCTGTGACTTACCCTGGACCATTATCTATTTACAGGTGAAGGTAGCATCTTCTGCTACTGTGAATCTCTATGGCAGACACTAATGTTTGCCTACTGGCTGGCCATTTCCTTTGTTTTATTATTATTTGTCCTCTTCACCCATATTGTCTCTGTTGACATTTTGGAGAGCACATTGTGTGAAATAGCCATATACTTTTTGGGACATTGGGATCCCTGGCTCTCCCCCACTAAATGGCAATAGTGGTCCCCAGTTCCCATGACAAGCAAAATATCACTGTATTTCAGAAAGCTGGAGGGTTGGAATAAGCCTTGGGCTGACCATGGCAGTTTCCTTATCTTTTCCCGATTGTTGGTCTGTGCATCTGATACAGTGGAATTCTGACTGAAAAATACGAGAAACTGGAGACTTCTGAAAAGAAGCCTTCCTTGTTGATAAAAATGGGCACATATATATTTACTATTCATTTTATCTTCCTGGAAATCTGATGTACAAGGGATGTGTGCAGATGTTTGCAGTTTTTAAAGATTTTTTCTACTTTATGGGTAGAAGATGAAGGGTCTAAATATATTGAGGTTAAGGACTCTGAGTTTATAAGTTAGTAATAAATTCATTTTTTTCCAGCAAACTGCACTTAAGTTTTTGTACTTTGCTGATGAAAAATATAGCATATGAACTTTGAATTCCCTTCTTCTCCCTCCTGTTCATTCTTTCCCCACTTGAACATACTTTAAAAAAGAAAAAAAAGTTTTAAATTTTGATATAAACTTATAAAAAAATTGCAAGTAAAAGACAGTAATTTTTTCCCTCAACTATTTGAGAATAAGTTCCTGACCTGATTGATGTCTCATCACCCCCATGCTGTATTGTGTAACTCCTGTAAACAATGATGTCCTCCCACATAACCACAGTTCAACTTTTAAAATAAGGAAATTAGCATCAGTACATGACAACTGCTATTCCTCAGACCCTGTTCAGGTGTCACCAGCTGTCTCAATCACATTCTTTATTCGAAAGGGCCTAGTCCTAAATCATGTGTGCTATTCACTTGTCTTTTCAGTCTCCTTCAGTCTGGACCAGGTTCTTAGTTTTTCCTTGACTTTCATGACTTTGTTAGTTTTGATGCTTATGGGCTAGGTATTTGGTAGAATATCTCTCAATTTGGGTTTGTCTTTTGTTTCTGCATGTTTAGATTCAAGTTATACATCTTGAGCAGAAATACCATAGAAGCAATGTTGTGTTGTTGTTTTTACTGCATTCTATCAGGTGGCACATGATTTTTTTCTTTTTTATTGAGGTACATGCCATAAAATGCACAGATCTTAGTGCACACCTTGATGAATTTTGACACATGTATACACTTATGTGACCATCACCCAGATCAAGATGTCAAACATTTTCACTAATATTTTCCACCCCTTCAGCTATTTCATCCATCCCCCACCTCTCTCCCTTCTGGTAACCACCAGTCTGTTGTCTGTGTTTATGAGTCTGTTTCTGTTTTTTGCTTGTTCATTTGTTTTGTTTTTTAGATTCCATATATAAGGGAAATTGTATAGTATTTATCTCTGTTTGACTTATTTCACCTAGCATCCCTATAGGTACATTTATGTCACAAATGGCAAGATTTCATTCTTCTTTGTGGCTGAGTAAATATCCCATTGTATATATGAACCACGTCTCCTTTATCTGCAGACAGGTTGCTTCCATATTTTGGCTATTGTAAATAATGCTGTGATAAACATAGGAAAGCATATGTCTTTTTGAATCACTAATTTTGTTTCCTTTGGGTAAACTCCCAGAAGTGGAATTACTGGATCATATGACACTTCTATTTTTAGTTTTTGAGACACTCCCATACTGCTTTCCATAGTAGCTGCAATTTATGTTACCACCAACAGTGTACAAGGGTCCCCTCTTCTCCACATCCTTGCCAACACTTGTTATTTCTTAGGTGACACATGATTTTGATTCATCCCAATCCTAATTGACTTTATCACAATTGATTTGTCTATTCTATTGGATTTTGGATATAGGCATTTGGATTTTGTTTCCTTTCTTTCTTTTATCACTCGTACTGCCGCTCTGCACATTCTAGGGCATCTTTGGCAAACACAGTTCTCTTGGTTATATTCCTAGGCATGGAATTGTAGGGTAGAGGGTTTGTTTAGGTTCCATTTTGGTGGAGTTACACTTCCTTTAATGAATTTGTCCTGATTGTTGGTGGGTTGCGGAGAGCTATGGCAATCAGTGTCTTTGGATTTGATGAGAGACAGTGGCTTGCTGCTTCCGGCACTGCCTGGCATTGCCCGGGTGGGTGAGCGCCAAATCTGGGTGAGAGGCTGTCTAGAAGCCCTTTGCCTTATCATGCAGGAGGATGGATGGAGTCTACTGCCTGGTAATCTGTTCTGACAGCTGTGCAAGGGAGCTGGGAGGAAGGGAAGGAGTTTATTTTAGAGCTTGGTGAGGGAGAAATCTAAACCTATTGCCGTGGTCTCCTTATTACTGTCTTTTCCAGTGAGGAGGGTTTGGACCTTGGAGTATGTAACTGAAAAATTTCAGCCTTATTACTGGAAATATTCTTATATGATGAGAAAAATTGCCCTAAAATGGGGAAAAATAGGTATTTTGGTAGAGGATAAAATAAATGGTGTTGGGAGGCAATTGAAGTTGATAGAAGAGTTTTACCCCAGGTAATATTTGAAAGCTTGTTCTTGTGACTGTGTGAATTTCGTGATAATCAGTCTGACTTTTGAACATGTTCTAGTAAAAGACAGACGTTACCTTCTCTTTTGATAAGAACTCTTTTTGCCCTGTTGTGGCTCCACTTCCTCCAGGAAGCCGCCTCTGAGCCCCAAGAGAGTGCTAAGTGTCTCTGCTTTGTGTTTCACCATGCCCTGCACATTACCAAACTGTGACGAAATACTCTCATTAGGTGTTTTTCTCAACTAAAATGTAAGCTTCTTGAGAGTAAGGGCTCTGACTTAATTTAAACATTTTTTTTCTAGTATTGCATCTAGCATGGAGGGCCAATGCTCAGTAAAATTTTGAACTGATATACTGAATAATAATACTTCCTCTTGTCCATTTTTTTAAATGTATGCATTAATTTCATTTGATCTTTACAGGGATTACAATCTGTATTAAACAGGTGGGGACAGTGCCGCTCTGAGAGGCAGTAGTTTGTCTGTGGTGATGCTGGTCAGTGACTGTTGCAGCTGCAACAGGCCGTAAGGTTTGCAGTTGTAATCCTTTGGCTCTTTGGATGATAACTGTGCCTTTGAAAGGAGTTCTGTTATCAGGGGGTTTAGATCTTCAGGCTTTGAGCAGATACTGAAAGGGAGCTGTATCAGTTACAGAGCAGGCAGAAAAGGTGAATTTGGAGCGAGATGCAATAGATTGGTAACTAGTTAGGAAAAAAATGAGGGAAAGATATACTGCTTTGCTTCACGTAACAGTTTTAGAAGCTTTGTCCTGTTCTTTCAGTTAATGGTTTATTTTCTTAATAACTTTTTGTGTGTTCACCCGTTTGGTATTTTGGGTATTAGGAACACAGTACTTAACAAGATAGATGAAATTCCTTCTCCTGCAAAGCTTGTATTCTAGTGGGAGATGCACAATTACCAGAGAAGTAAACAATAACAATATTCTGTATGACATGTAGGACAGCGGAACAAGTACAGACGGAAGTACGTTCCAGGCAGGAAAAGTCACGGATGCAAGTGCCCCAAGGAGGGACTCCTGGCATTTTTTCAGAATAAAAAGGCCAGTGTAGTAGGAGTGTGGTGAGCTAGCAGAAAGTGTACACAATGAGACTGCGATTGCTGGATGTAGGACTTTGAATAAACCAGGGTGGAAAGTTTGATTTCTAGCCTAACGTAGTAGAAAAGTGGATGGTTTTGAATAAGGAAGTAATATGATCTCATTTATGTTCTATAAATAGATTACTGTGGCAGCTGCTTGAAGACCTCTTCAGGAGGTATAGGAAGAATGCAAGCAGGGAGACTAGTTCTGAAGTTTATCATGT